TCTCTCTCACTCTCTCTCTCTCTCTCTCTCTCTCTCTCTCTCTCACACTCACACTCACACTCACACTCACACTCACCTGCTGCAGGTTGTGGTAGAGCTGCTGTTGTGTTGAGCTCCCAGGCGTGGGGTCCTTCAGACTGCTGTGAGCCGTCCGCAGCGCTGCCTGTCTGTCAAACATGTGAGCGCTCTGCCGCTCCAGAAACTGACGAGCCCTGAAGAGAGACACGCTCTCATTCCACATGTACTGCCTCACGCTGAGAGAGAGAGAACAACACACAATAACACACACTCCAAACCCTGCTCCGCTGTCCTGCTGTAACTGAACCATCTATGAAGACGCAAAGCACTGTTTGGAGTCTGTCCAACGCATTGCCAGCTGCTTCCACCCCTGATTCAAACACACACTCACACACACACACTCACTCGTCTACGCTGGTGTCGCTGGCGTCTGACCGCAGCAGCGGAGCCTCCAGATCCTCCAAACGCAGACCGTTCTCTGTCTTTCTCTTGCTCTTCTTCTGCTCGTCCTCTGCTCCGTCCTGCTGCTGTTCTCGCTCCGCTCTGCTCCTCTGCTCCAGTTCACTGCACACACACACACACTTACTTGTTTATACTACTTTGTGGGGTCCTAATGTCCCCACGAAGATGGTAAAAACAGAAATATACTAAGACAACATCTTAAAAATGATAATAAAGAATGTTTAATAGAATGTTAAAACTCACAACAGTATGGACCTAACCTACACCAACCCTAAACCTACCAGTCACAGAAACTTAACTTCATTTTAACATTTTTATATATATATAAGAATGTTTAGAACATTTGTATGTAAGACTGTTAGATATAAGAATGTTGAAACATTTTTATATATACTGTAAATAAATTCTGTGATGGTTAGTTGTCCCCACGAGGGAAAATAAATATTCAAAATAGTAAATGATGTTTATGTGAAAGTGTAAGAATGCAAACAGGTTTTCTGTAAGGGGTAGGTTTGGGTTAGGGGATAGAAAATATCATTTGCTCAGTATAAAAGTAATAGAAGTCTATGGAAAGTCCCCACAATTCACAGAAACAAACGTGTGTGTTTGGTGATGATGAGTGTTACCTGACTCTGGAGGTCAGCTGCTCACATCGCTCCTGCAGAAGCGTGACTCTGGCCTCCAGCTCCCGTCGCTCCTCCATCATCCTGCTGTTCTCCTCTCTCTGTCGCTCTCGCTCCTGTCTCTCTCTTTGCAGATCTGCTCTCATCCTCTGCAGCTCCTCACGCAGCTCATCCCGCTCCTTCAGCAGCTGCGGGAGAGACTACAAACACACACACACACACACATCAGATATACACACACCAACACATCAGATACACACACACACACACACCAGACACACACACACACACACACACACATCAGATACACACACACCTGTAATCCTCTCTGAGCGTCCTCCTCTTCCTCACACAGCTGCTGTCTCCTCTTCCTCAGATCTGATGCCTGATGATGATCAATAAACAGCACTGTTAGTATTGTGGTAGAACTGTAATAAAACAATTAATCTGAAGTAAATGAGAAACTACAACTAAACTAATCAACAACTACTGTAAAAAAAAAAAAAACTACAACCAAACAATCTCTGAATGTGATGAAATAAAACGAAAATAACCAAAACCAGTGGAACTGAATAGCATACAATCATTAGAACGAAGAATTAAAATAAAGCACAAAATTTTGAACCTTTGACTGAAGTTCAGCCTCCTGAGTTTGAAGTTCTTTGGTTTGTATCTCCAGCTTCTCCATCCACTCCTGTAGAGCTGACTCCTACAGACACACACACGCACGCACGCACGCACGCGCACACACACACACACACACAATATTACATTCCAGTCACAAGCAATCTGTCTGTCCACATGAGGTCACAGCCAATAAGAAGAGTGTGTGGGCAGAGTCTGTAAGCACTGTCTGGATGAGTATATGATCAAATTAATACAAATTAAGCCTTTTTAAGATGATTAAAAATACATTCTCTGATACGGTCTTTGTCATGGGTGCACATGTTTAAAGTTTGGATGTGCTCATTTTATTTATTCTTCAGATCTGAGGTGAATGACCATGAACACACTCGCTGACAGTGTGCTGAGTGTGTGTGTGCGTGTGCACTGCGCTGACCTTCTGAGAGTGTGTCCTGCGCATCTCCTGCAGCTGTGTGTCCAGTGTGTGCTGTAGTTTGTGTAGTTGTGTTGTGTGTTTAGAGATCACAGTGTCTCTCTCTTTCTGAAGAGAATCCAGCAGACGCTCCCGCTCCCTGCTCTCCTGCACACACACACGCACGCACGCACACACACACAGTCACACAAACGCACGCACGTACACACACAGTCACACACACACACGTACACACACACGGACACACACACAGTCACACAAACGCACGTACGCGCACTTCTCTTGTAGCCGCCTCCTCTCAGCCCGGAGCTCCTCCTCTGACTCCTCCCTCAGGCGCTCGAGGTCCCGCCTCCTCCGAGTCTCCGCCCTCTCCTGCTCCGCCTCCAGCTCTGAGCACAGCTCCTGCAGCTTCACCTCATTCTCAAGCCTGAACACACACAAGGGACGAATGTGTGTGTGTGTATGTGTGTGTGAACGCACCGATGGTGATACAGAGTGTGTGTTTGTGCGTGTGTGTGTATGAACGCACCGATGGTGATACAGTGTGTGTGTGTGTGTGTGTGTGTGTGTGTGAATGCATCGATGGTGATACAGTGTGTGTGTGTGTGTTAGGGGTTGAACGACTTCTGATTTTTTGAAGTCGC